ACCGAGAACCGGGATCATATATGGGCCCACTTGCCACTGTATAGGAGTTCAGGACTCATGGTAGCAAGTACGGTTCCGGCTTTAGGTGCTTAGGGTGTGGGTGTGTAGCGACTGGACTGCGCTTAGGCTGAGCTTGCCAGAATCTGGTCCCCGGAAGCCCCAAATCGTCTGATCGGGTCGGCTTGTATCGGGCAAGTCATAGGCTTGCGTGAACCCGACATGAAGGCCATTCTGCGAAACCGGCATACTAAAGTAGTGATCATTTCTGTGGGAAAACCTCAAACATCAAATTGACAGGCTGAAGCCTCAGCCCTTTGGCTTCTGGGGCCTCTGTGATCGCGTGCCTGGCAGGCGACAGAAGACAACGCCAGTTATGCAACCTGCAAGGCCCAGACAACCTACGTATAGATTTATATATATATATACAGTATACACATACATATATACTGTATATATTTATATACACACAAAAAAGTTGCGGCACCCAACCTCACAGTCTAGATATTCTGTATATGATATACCCCAGGCCCAAAACCCCATGCAGAATTTTCCTGGCGGCCCCAAAGCCCGAAAGCTCACAGTCAACACCTCCTGCAAGGAATTCGAGCCGCGAGGATTCCAGACGAGCCGCGTCTCTCCAGTTTCCTGGCTTCGATTTCTGACGTTTTCAATGGTGCATCTGGCGTTGCAAGGGGTTGATTGTCGGGGTGCTAGGTTTTTTTTTCGTTTAGGGGGTTCAGATCCACAAGTGCTATGCGTACTCAGGGTGCGCAACGACTGTCGTCGACAATCCTGCCCTTGAGCCCTCCAACAAGCGCCGTAGAACCAACTAGAGTACCCAATTGCTTGAACCCTGGACATGCCCCACACTCCAGGCCCCACTCGCCTGCCTTATGCCGCCACATCATGCCATGTCCTTCTTCTTCAGCTTTGTGGCACTGCCCTGCCAATTTCGAACCCCAAAATAACAGACGCAGGCTCTCGACCGCCTCTCGCCGGGGCACTTGGGCTTTGAGGGTATGTTTGTGAGAGACTTGGTGTTGGGGCTTTCGTGCCTGCGCCTCCTATCTTGTGGAATAATTGGAATAGAGGTCCCCATATGCAGGATTGGCGCCTAGTTGTGGTGTGGGTTTCATTGATGCAGGAGATGCTTGACCATGACAGAACTGGCTCCAAAAGACATAATCAAGCGTAGACAGTGTTTCCTTGAGGCGCTACTTGCCTATCCAGCAACTCCAAATAAACCCTACACTAAACCCGATCACAACGTGAGGAAGTCTGCTTATGTTTGGCCCATTGAAGGCCTCGAATGAAGAAGGGCTTCATTACGGTTAAGCGGGTTGTAAATGAGCTTTCAGGTCTCATGGTTACGACTCGTCTGGATGTTGGAAAGTAGGGTCTCCGGTTAAGTGCATTTCTGGCTTGCAAAGGATATATCTTGTGCCCCGAAAGAGGAAGTGTTCACCCTATAGTTATGCTGTTTTTTCGGTTCCCCCTCGAGCACAGGTCGACCGAAGGGACGCTGCTCCCAGGTCTGAAAAGCTTGCGGCAGAAGGCCAGGAAGTTTAGCGTATGGTCGGAGTTTAGGGTTGCAGCAGTGTTCGAGGCATTCGGGAGGCAACGGCATCTTGACTTGAAGCGAAGCTAAATACCATAACTTCAGGCTGAACCCTGCATCAGCATTGCATCTTTGGGTGTGAAAGCGCCGCTTCCCAAAGTCATGCCCGAGCGGTCCAGGTGCGTATGCAGGAGCCGAAGTCGCACATGATGCCCGACATGCAGGATGTGCAGCTGCCTCATCCAGGACATTTCTCCATTTACAGCTTCAGCTTCGAACTTCGAACTGTGACATGGTCGTTTACAGCCACCACCTAAGCCGAAACGGACGGGCACTGTCCAGGGGTACCTGCGCTGTAGTGAAGACCTGCCAGGTTGGTTCCCTAGGCCGTGAGCGTGCCTTGTTTAGAGTAGGTCAATAGGCAGGGCTATGTAGTGTCATTCCGTGATCTCGCTGAGGTAATAAAGTAGTTGCGATGACTTGATGCTCGAAAGACCATACCCCAGCCCTTGAAGAGGCACCAACACAGCAGAGACCAACAGACAATGTCATGGTCATCACCTTTGACCTGAGACACCTGGACCGCAACTTCAACCAGAACCAACGGTGGTGATTGAGCAGCGGCTGCAAGGGCGACCAGGACGACTAACATTAGCGAGCTGATGCCGACGTGCGCAACAACAGCGGTGACTCTTGCTCGTGCCGCTATTACACCTCCTTCTCCTCCTCTTCCTCGTCCACCTTAAATTCAATCTCCTCATCTTCTGTCGCTTAATAATTCCTAATTGAAATAGCACCTTCATGTTCGCCAGTTTGAGCAACATTAACGTAGCCATCATCATCGAAATCTTCTTCCCCTGTTTTTCTACGTTCCATCACGAACTGTACTGCATCCATCCAAGTGCCGATGATGTCGGCCATACGGACAATTGTGCGATGACGTGTGGTTGAGAGCACTGAACGGGTTGCAACAAAGATGACCGTGGCCTGTCTCTGCAGCAAGCATGTCTAAACGAGCGCGAACCCTCGTCAGTTCAGCTGTTTATTTGCGTCATGTTGTTTTAGCTTCGTGACGGTTGCTGAGTCGTGTGGTCAATGTTGCTTATACACAGCTGGTGCGCATTTGTATATATAGATGTACAGATGTACATATGTACACATACATAAGTGCAAATGTGAGCACGGTTCATGGCCGGATACACGTGAGCGACCCACGTTTTAATCTGCTGCGTCGTACACTATGACTGCACACTGGACGTTCTAAGGTGAACAGTTGTTTCTTGGAGGGGACAATGGCTGAATAGCAATGGCTTTGCACTGATCGGCCTGTGTTCGAGCGAGAACTGCCAATTCCAACGCATTATGGGGAAATCCGCACACATTATAGGCACGAGGTATGCAGCTGCAACCAGTTTAAGGCGACAGTAAGCCGCTTGCACAAGAATCGTTTGTCTCGCATGGATACATTAGTTTTTTCTTTTAGCAATTACCATAGCTGCATATGTGAACCCCTCCCTTCGAGCCTACGCGAGCATGGGTACACACATAGACACCATGCGTGTGTCCATCCGTCCATTTGTCTGCATGCATGCAAACACATGCCTTTGCGTGTTTGTCCCTAAATATGCAGGTTGACAAGTATGGTGTTCAGATGCAGTTGCATAAGGTCGACAACGAGGACGAAGCCCAAAGTCGAAGAGAGGCCTTGCGCTGCATTGGTGCACGGCTGCGGTGACAAGCTTCGAGTTAACGTTCATGCATGTTCTCATTTTGCAGGCAACCTGGAGCAGTATTTCGAACATGGACTTTGCTTGGTACTTCGGGGAACGCGGGGGATGGTTGAAACTCAGCTCAGGTTCGAGCATACTAAGAGCTCCTGCCTCGTGACAAGGAGGGTAAGACGGTGGCTCAAAGGGTCATCCACACTTCAAACCGCATGCTTGCTACAAGGAGATATCAGATATGTCCATCATACAAGCTTCGGCTCCTTCAACTCTTAGGCCCCATATCGTTTCCACATGACTTCCAAGCCCTGAAGTGAAGATCCCCAGCAAAGCTGTCCGAGGCGGGCCTCCAACCCTCCTTCCGGGGTCGTGAAGGCGCGGAGACAACACTATACTTTAAGGGCCTGAATAATTAGAACAGGTTTTGGGGATATGTCTACTATACTTATATAAAGGAACCCCCGAGAAGCCGTATTCGTTCTACATTGCGGGCTTGAGGCTCTAGGGTTGCTGAGATGGGGCAACCCGAAGCGCCTGTACCCTGAGCATTGTACATATATATATATATATACATACACACACACACACACATATATATATATATATATATATATGTGTGTGTGTGTGCCTTGTGCATCCGACAAAATTCTTGTTTGTGGCAGAGGTTTCGGGGATGGTGCAGGTCTTTCAGCTCAGTGGATTGCACTATACTGTAGACGTTTGTTCGTGGTGCTGCAAACTTTGAGGATCTCTGAGGGTTGGGCTAGGCCTCGTGCAGAGATGTTTTTACACTTGGGATTGGGTTGAGATGTTTTCGTCCATGTGCCGTCTAGACAAGCATCGATTCTTGCCAGTTGGTACCCGAAGCATCTGCCACGGTCTCCACCACAAGATACGTGCCTGATTGTGTCTTGTGGTCGCGGATGATTGGACAACTGGATTTGCTCTGTGCTTGTAGTTTTGTTCGTCCGTGGCGGTTAAGCCGCTAACAAGTTTGAGAGTTCAGCCTAAACCCTAAACCCTAAACCCCTAAACCCCAAACTGGAGATCATTGGATGCCACAGGGCCGCCAGGGATCCAAGGGCAGCGGCGACGTTGCCAGCCAGAGCAACTGTCTCAGTGCAAGAGGTCTTTGAGAGCAAACGTTGTTCCAGCAGAGAACACAATGTGCTAGAGGGTTCGATCAGGCACACCCGGGTCGAAATTCAAGTGCCGGATGCTGAAAGAAAATGAGAGTGCCGACTTGCGTGCGCATGGACGTTCTATTCGAGCCCTCTCGCGACCATATTTCTTGCACAAGACGATGCTGGTTGGCTTGGTCGCTCTAGCCGGCCGCCCTTCTCAGGCCCTTCTCCCTTCTCCCTCTCGCTCGCTCTCGCTCTCTCTCTCTCTCTCTCTTTCTCGTCACTTGTCTCTAACTCGCTCCCTCTCTGCTCGCCCGCAGACCTCACTGCTAATGTGACTGGCAGTGTCGATGATGATGATGGAGCGGAGGATGAAGATGGTTATTGCGAGAGATGGTGAGGCAATGGTGAGGAGCCGGAACAGAACGAGACGCCGATGACGACGACGATGAGCAGATACGAGGAAGCCAATCAACCCCACCAATCTTGCTACTGCGCTGCGCTGCGATGATGGACAACTTCGACCTGAGGCCAATCCCAGAACTGCTTCACTGGAGCAGGGGGGGCCGGAGCCTTGTGAGCGGTGGGGCATGGAGATTTGAAGCGTTTTTGGGTCTGTCATCCTACAAGGTAAACTCGAGCTTGCCACCCATAAGTCCGGCCTAAACCCATAACCTGCTTGCTTTCTTCTTCAGACAGTCTTCTGTCAATCTTCTCGGGCATTCGAGCGGGTGCTCAGGGTGTAGGTCCTGTGTTTTTTCGGCTTTAGGTTGGGGCGTCGACGGTTTGGGATTTGGTCCACTTGATTTGTAGCACTCTGCATTTGGGATTCCCAGGAAAGGGTTTGTAAACCCTAAACCCTAAACCCTAAACCCGAGACGTCACTTCAGAGTTTCGGCGGGTCCGGCCTTGACAGTTCTGAGTTGTGTTCTTGGACACCTGAGCAGACGTGTGCATCGACTGGCAAATCCTACCATCCCAACATGAACACCTGCCAAAAAAGGAGACGTGCACGCTGCTTTTCGTGCCGGGTTGGCTCAGCAAGAGAATTCACATACCCTGCTTCTGTGCTACGTCTGTGTGTGACACGTCGCATGTGCCTCAAGAGGTCCTCAAGACAAGACTGACATCGTGATCCCGACAATGAAGCAGAGCAAAATCAACAGCTGAAGCTCTACTGTCGTGGTAGCGTAGCGAATCGGGCGACGTTCTGCTTACAGCGCCCCCAGAGAACCCAATACCCCAATTAAGGAATTTATACCTTAAATCATAATATATTTGGGCCCCTATAATTTAAGGTATATTCCTTAATTAAGGGTATTGGGTTCTCTGGGCCATGTATTGTCATCCCTTGCTTGTGCGGATATCCAGCTCCACTTAGGCCCACTGCTCCCATTCAGCCTCGCGTGTTGGGACTTAGGGGCGGGGGCGACTTTAGGCAGCTACAGAGCCCACTGATGTGGGGCATGTGTCTCCAATCCGGACTTCGCACCAACAGACCTTATAAGCGAAAGACGGTGCTCGCTTCCTTATTTAATTAGGGTTTCTAACCCGACAGACCTTTCTACGGAGCACTCCTAGAGCCACACTCACACCCTGAATCCTGCCTTCGAAAACTTGGCAAAGTCTTACAGACCCATAACTAACATCCTCAAGTACTCCTCTCTCTTGGCATCCAACATGGATGCCTTTTCCTCGGCGGAAGCGAAGCGATTTCGACAGAGGCACCAGGGACGGGTGTTTTGCTCTGGCACTCGCAACTTCCTGTTTTTCCCCAATGTTCATGCGTGAGTTTCTTCATGTCCAGAAGCTTTGGGGATCTGCTCACCAGGATGATCTTCCACTGCGCGACAACGGTGGGCTTCACGTGTGCTGCGGCGGCCCTGGCCGTCCTTCAAGTACTTGGAGGATCATGGGACTTAGTCAATAAGGTTATAAGTCCCTTAATTGGGGTTATAAGTATAGTTACCCTAATTATAACCCTACGTACTAAGTCCCATGATTCTTTAAGTACTGTATTGTAAGCCATGCTGGCGCCTGGAAGTTCGAAAGCCTATCACTCTGCATCTTCCCGGCTCAAATGGTTGGGATTGTCAGCCATCTCCTATAATGAAGCTCCTCCTGAACGAGGCATACGTTGCCAGGGAACCCCACTCACAATGTAGAGCCCACACCCCGCAGCACCGACAATCTTGGTTGCATATACCCAGAGAACCTCACGTGGAGTTTTTGCCAGAGAGGTGCTTTTCGCCTTAATTCGAAGCATGTCTCGTATGTACGTATTGGTAGCCGGATGCACGCATTGTTGTACATGTGTAGCATACGGACCGACCGCTGATTTGCCAATGCACAGCAGAACATGCTCGACCAAGCATAGTCTCACGCACATCTGGTTTAATTGTTCCTCGTTTAATTAACATCTAAAACTCGAGAGTCCGCCCACATGCCGTCAATTCCAAAGCTTCGCCTGCATCGTCCCAGTGGTGAAAAACTTCTACGACTGCCTTAACTCGAAAGAGCAGTCTCCATGCATACAAATATCGACTGACACACACTTACATACACCAAGCGGATCGATTTCCCATAATAATGCTGAAGAGCAGTGTTGTAAAACACAAGCACTCAGGTCTACTTGATGGGAGTTCTGCGCGCAGTTCTGGAGCCCTTCTTTTGGGCCCTCTTCCTGGTCACCGCGCTGGTGCCGTTAGCTAGGCCGGACCACACTAGAATGGCCCTAGAAGTCCTTCAGCGAACCTAGCAGTGTAGGTAAACCTGCGACCGGACAACTCCAAGCTCGAAATGCCCACATCCCTCAGACTCGGACTGACATGCTAGGATTTGAAATGTGAGGACGAGAGTTTCATGCGCTGCCGTGCAGAAGCATTCTGCTGGTTCATGTTGTTCCAGCTGTGGCAGTCGCAGTAACTGGTAAGTGCGCCACCTGCGCATGGGTCATGTGTGGGTCTTCTTTTGGAGTTGAGGTGTGCCGGCTTCCTGTGCAGTTGCCTGCACGCAGGTTTTTTGAATGCATACTTCTGCAAGCGACTCGTGCAGCAGTTAGCAGTCTTCGTGTGCTCCGTCTAACGAGCTGAGTTGGTTTACTTAAAGCGGAAACAATGGTCTCACACTTGCTGTATAGCAGCTAGTGATGCCACACTTTGCGCATGACAGGGTGGAATCTTGTCATTTCGGTACAAGAAGTGGAGAGAAGCATCGAGGCGCAAATGCAGTTGTGCAAAGGGCAATATATTTGATGGACATCCACATGTGCGTGTCTCCCTAGTACAACGTATTTCGAGGCATTCGGCAATGCAACGTAATGTAATTGACGTAAGTTTTTGACTCGTGACGACAGGCTATGTATCATGTACAATGTACCTACAACATGTATGTACTTGTTTTATACTCAGGCGAATGTGTGTATATTCCACCATATAACTTTAAATCTATCTCTATATATATATATATACATATTATGTTTCTTTGCCATCATCCTCGCCTGATGCAGTCAAGCGCAAGTGCTAATAAAATGTATATGCATATATATATATATATATATATATATAGTTGTTTATTTATTTGTTTTGTTTATTTATTTATTTGTTTAGTATGTTTATATGTATGTTCATATTTATAGTTATGTATTTACTCGTTTGTTTATGTGTATTTACACACATACATATTACAGGCGTCATCTCTCTCTCTCTCTCTCTAGTTACATGTATATAGCTGTATAGCATCACACAGACACACACACACATATATATATATATTCATACATATATATATATATACACATACATACATGCATACCTTCACAAATAGCACACGCACATTTGCACGTGCGGAAGCAAGCAAGCGAGCAATCAAGCAAGCAGGCACGCAGCCAAGTGACGGCAGCCAATGAGCATATCTTCACGGCACGCAGATGTTATCCATGCATGTATGTGTAATTCGTATAGGCAGAAGTGTGGATGAGACAGACAGATAGGTAGATAGAGAGATTTACGCCAGATAGATAGATAGATAGATAGATAGAAAGATAGATAGATTGTAGTTTAGGTTAGGTTAGATTAGATTAGATTAGATTAGAGTAGATTAGATTAGATTAGATTAGATTAGATTAGATTAGATTAGATTAGATTAGATTAGATTAGATAGATCGATAGATAGACAGATAGATAGACAAATGCACGGGCACATCGACACATGTGCGTCTGTGCAGTAGAGACGTGCATGAGTCACTAAACGGGCGGATGCACGAGTGGAATGAGAGTGGTATGCACATACACGTGTCTATACGTACGGCTCTCTACGTACTCACAAGATGCAATGTACTGCACAAGGCCAGGCACGTTTTGGGGTAGCATGCTTGTCAAACGAGCCGGAGCCAGAGAGACCACTGGATGTCGAAAAGAGAGGAAAGGCGAGGTGAGGCCTGCTTTCGACAGTCCTGCTGAGGTCGGACAGCTCTTCTGTGGGCGCTTCAGCCATAGCCGGCCCAGGATTACCGATGCCCACTTGCGTTGTTGGGTCGCGACTCTCCATAGGGCCTGCATGGGCTTCCTGCATAGGATTTGTTTATGAGACTTCCATTACATTACACTGCTCGAAACTGCTGCTTTGGAGTGAGGAAGGAAATCCTGTGCAGATGTTTACTGTTTACGATCACCAGTTTGTAGCTAAACTGTTTGGAACAGTGTAACATGATGCAATGCGCAGAAGACTTGTGAATAGTTGCCGTTTCCTGGCCCTGCTCTTCCATTCTACAAGAATCCCGGAAGTATTTATGGTGCTCAGGCAGGGCCTAGGATGTTGGAATGTCAAGAAGAGGTTTGGCGGGATGTGCACGCTTGTACCAGCCTGAGCCTCCAACCACACTCAAACCCTTGTAGTAACCCTTACAGGACCCCTCTTAAAAGAACCCCTATTCTACCTGTAGTCTCCACTGTAGTTCCTTTTTCGGGATACCTTATAAAATCCTTAATATAAAATTGGTTAAACCAAAAAAGGAACTACAATGGAGACTATAGGTACCTGGGGGGTTAGGGTAACCCTTACAGGACCCCTTTAAAAAGAACCCCTATTCTAATTGTTACCGACAGGGAGACTGGAGATTGAGGCATTGAAGCCCAGAGGCCTGGAGACCTCCACTCGGCACCCGGTTTTCTGAGTGCTGTTTGCCGATGCTCGGGGCTTCAGCTGGCTCAAACTGGTGTGTTGTGAGCAGCTTCCAAAATGTCACTCGGCGGCAGGAATCCTGAGATCACCTGAGAGCATACAGGGTTGAATCATTCTCTGAGTGGGCCACGATGCATGGTTTCTTCTGTTGGCAAAAGGGGTTTTTTTCCTTAAGGTAGGCAGGTGTTCGCTTCTGTAGCCGGTCTGAAGGGATGAGGTGTCACCCAAGGTCCAGCAACAAGCTTTTTGGATGCTTGTTGATGGCAACTTCTTGCCCCCCCAACCCCACACCGACCCGAATCCTGCACTTCAATGGCCGTAGCGAGCTGTACAGACCTGGGGCGAAGAGGCGTAATATAAGGAGAGCCTGCGTGCTTAGCACCTCAGGTCGCGCCCGCCAAGCAGCCTCCGGAGTGGCGGTGACCGTTCCACTGCGAGTTTCATACTTGCTTGATGCTTGCACGGGTCAGCGGGGTGCTTGTGTAGGAGGATTCAAGTGCCTATACAACTTGCTTTCTTTAAAATGCTCGACTCCGGGATTACGCAAGTGTCCAGGTTTCAACCGGCTTCAGAGGTTGCAGCTGGGAGTTTTCCCGATAAGGGGGTACCTTATTTGGGGGGTCCTTATAATGACTATTATATTTACGGTACTATATTAGGGTCCCCTAGCTTCGGAAACCCCCAGCTAAATTGAAGGGAGAGGCAGTTCCTTGGTGCAGCGGCGCAGGGTTCGTGGTTCGTTCCCTCCGGCCAATGGCTTTGCATGGCTGTGCTTCTGCGTCGTTGCGATGCAACCATACTTCCAACTTACGGATCCACTCCGGTTCGGCACCGTTGACACTGAAGTTTTCCAGTTTTCGGCCAGTGTCCCGTGGTTCTAACGCTAGCATTTGGCCAGCACGTCGCGGTAAGAGCACACCTGCACCAAACCGTTCCTAAACCGGCCTGAACACGACATGAAGCAAGCATGAAACCGAGATGAAGCAGACGCGTACCACGCTGCTAGACACCGCTTCTTCCAACCTCTGTGTTGGCCCACCTTTCGTGCGCACATAAGAGAGTTTTTGGGTTCGCAACGAGTAGCAAGAAACTGTGGACCACAAGATATGACATGAAAAAAGAAGAGCAGCCGTCATGGAACGTTCATGGAAGGAAAAGACCGAAGGGTCAGAGGAACGCAGCACGCGCAGCTTGAGACATTTCAAGAGCAATGGCGCATGCGCTCGTTGGCTTTCCGCCAATGAGCAAAGAAGCAAGCTGATTAAAATTAATGGCCCCATGGAGCATACCATGCTCCGGACCCCTCAGTTGATTGAAAGCCTTAGTTACTCCCTGGTTGATTGGAAGCCTTGCTCTCCGGGCGGTTTTGCACATTCCCTAATACAAGAGCACCTCAAAGCATGAATGCCTCGGTTGAATAGGCTCCGAACTGATTGGTGAAGGCGTTTTGTACGAGTGGTGTTTAACGACATCGTGAAAAGGAACGTTTCACACTGTAGTGCCAGAATCGGGAAAGTCACGGACTTGTGCTGGCCTCTCGTCCCAACCCCCGCCTTAGATACACATCCTGGAATAGCCAAGGCTTTCAGAATCTCCTGGTACAGCTGCAAGAGGACAGTGCCTGCACTAACATGTAAGGTCGATGTTTGTTACCCTTCCAGACACGGAGGAACGAAGTGTTGGTGGTTAGGAGCTCAGTGCTCATGTTCCTGGTTCACGAGTCGGAGCTGTATGTCATTGGATCCTCGTAGAAGCTCGAGTCACCATGAAGGTTGGATAATTCAGCTGGCATTGCTCTGTCCCTGACTTGAATTTGCAGTTGTGCCTGATCTGTAGGCTGGCAGATTGTATAAAGGCAGGTTGGCACAGTATCTGCACAGTCCATGGCGTTGTCCTGCAATGAGAGCCTTTCTGAAGAAGAACTCTCCAAGCCGTTCCCACTTGCAGCAGAAGTTGCGTAACACTGCAGCAAGCTTGGGCAAGGGCTCTCTTCAAATTTCACAGACGCAGGAGTACGAGAGAGAGGTCCGGCGTCTGAAGGCAGGGCGCTTTTCATTGCCACCCGCATCGCCACTCTTCTCACTTGTATGAATGGGGGCTGAATTCGGAGGACCTGAAGGTAAGTCGCATGCCTATCCGAGCAGTTTGCAAACTCTGAGACTTTTCACAGGCCATGAATCTCGATCTGGTACTTTTCCGGCAGTAGGAGCCGCAGCCTGTAATCGTTATCAACCTCGTCAGAGATCTTCAAGAGCCAGGCTGCAGAGATTGCAACTCTTAGCGGCTAGTTTCTGAACTTGTGATGCCGGGAATCCGCATCCGTACTACTATACACTGCTACTGGTGTCATTGTAGTGTCTGCATAAGACCGTCATTGTTCTTTTTCTCCCCTTGGTAACAGCATGGCAGATCGTCGCTGGCGTTGTCGTTGAGTTATGTCCTGCCATGCGATTGTCACGGCTTTTCGTCTTCATCATCATTGCCGTGCGGGTTGCTTGTACTAGTGCAGTATGTACCGTACCCTGAAGGCGGACAACGAACGCCTGCTCGATGAGGTTGAGTGGGATGGGGCGAGGTGTTCTGTATATTCGATATATACATGTGTATCATGTTGTCTATGTGTGTATATATATATATATACACATCTTTACAGACAGGAGAGAGATAGACACATATTGAGAGAGAGGGAGAGAGAGACTATTCGGGGAAGGCCGCCCAGAGGGTAAATTTCCATCGGTTTGACCTGTTTTCTTGCGCGACAGTGAACACGGCTGCGCGTGCGCACGGGGGGGGGGGGGGGGGGGG